TTATTATTATATATATATTGTTATGTTAATATATATATATATATATATATATATATATTATATATATATATATATATATATATATATATATGTATATACTTGCATACTTGCTACACGTATTATTATCGTATACACCTACATGTACACAATAAATGTAAGTATTATTACGCGACGATTCTATAAAATGCTATGTGAGCATCTCTCTGTTGATTATACGTACATTTTATATAATATTAATTGACATATAGACAGGTTCATTCAAGTGCAAGATTTCGCATAGGTACATTTCGAAAAGAAGAAAATACATTTTCTGTCTGGAGAAAGCAATAAATTTTAGAACGGCGGTTTCCTTCCTGGCATTGCTTTATACATGCATCAAATGGTGATATATATAATAATAATTAATTTTAATATAATTGAAATCCGTTTCATAATTATTCTAGTTTATATTGACAGCATCCTAAAGCAGCGCTTTGAATTATTTCCGAAGTGAATTAAATATCGATTTATTATTAACTTTTTTTTATTAGCGACAAATCGTGAATTAAGATATCATGTGGAAAGAATATCCTGTACATTCGATTATATCTGGCAAAAAGACTTAGGAGACTTGTTAGAAGTAACATATATAGAAAAGAATAAAAGTGATCGTGCAAAGAAGTAGTTTAGAAGAATTTCATTCTTTTTCCTGGGTGCATTTTTTAGATACAAAAAAGATATAATAGTATTTTATAATATTTAGGAGAGATTTATATATAAATGACAAAACCATGCCGAGTCCCACACTTGGCTATACTTGGTGATGCAATTTGTTGTCGAGCTACGCAACTCTCGTTTACATTCGTTCGGACAGATGTAATTTCCAGTACTGTACGTTTATATTTCCGCTGAATGCTAAAATAAATTATTATTTTTTATGCTGTATAAAAATTTTTTTCCATATTCGCTGGTCCTATCACAAACTCATGTCGCTTGCAACATCCATAAGGGTTTATCTTTTAATTCTTCTTGCTATTTGCGAAAACTACAACGTTTACGTTGTATATTTGTTAAGCTACACACATTTCGAATAAATTCATTCATATATACATCTATATTAAACGCTTATACTTGTGTTATAAGCATAACCGTAATTAAAAACAGTATTTTTTTCTAAAACGTGCAATTCGCTAGAAAATATATTCCTCGATGCAATATTCCGGATGTAAATAATCCCTGGAGATGACGAAGATACCTGTGTGAGGATAGCCCCCCAACATTGAAAAACATAAAGTTTCTATAGCTCATTCGATTGTTCATCGTTTGCACATGTATGCACATTTCAAATTTTCGTTTGCACACTTCTAGTAAAAAAGTTATTAACAAAACAAATTTCGGCGGGCCATCTTCACACTAGCCCCCCCAACTATGAGTAAATTAAATAAAAAATAGCTCAATTGATAGATATTCGTTTGCACATTGCCAAACAGGTTGATTTTTCGTTTTCTGTATTTCATACAGGTGACGAAGATGACGATTTCTGGCAATTATACATTTCTTGACTCATCTCCCGATCGTGTTATATAAATGCGCTGCTTAACGGCAAATTTCGACTAATCGGTTAATGACATGTGATGAATTTTATCTCACTCGGCACAAATATAGAGAGACCACATTGCGCGATCTCTTCTCAACCTCTATTAATACCAGTCGATTTCTAGTCCGTACTTGAAGCGAGATAAGGACACTCGTCTCGTGACCCGTAATTACGTGAACCGAAATGTGGATCAGCGGACGCATACATAGATTCCGAAAGGACATATATGACGCGCTTCCTTATCCGAATTTAGCGCGACGCGATGTTACGAGAACTCTCTACGATATCGGGGCCACGTTGGATAAAAATAAAGAGCCTGTTACGAGGAACGTGCGGACCAGTTTGACGTCGCATCGCGAATCAGCGTCGGCATGCTCGATCGTAAAAGAACTTCGGCCAATTTTTTATTCATGACACTGCCTGACACTGCGCCGCATTTTTTCATCGTTGAAATATTCCTCAACTCAGGAGCGATTCACTTTACGGAGGTATTCGATTACAGACACCCGGAGGCGATATGCACGCTCAGTTAAATATTCTTCGTCGTACGTAAAATATAAAATGCAACCGACGAATCGTGGGAAGTACGTGTTTCTAAGAAGCATTATGCGCGGATCTGGAAACATTATGCTAATCCGAAACTTCGGCTAGAAACTTACTTATGAGTATTGCATCGCATTATACAATGCAAATTAAAAAAAAAAACGTTTAAATATTTGAACCTGCAATAGTAACTTTCCTAGCGATTTATGCTCTGACATTCAATTTTATGACAACTGCAGTCAACAGTTGATGCGTGTAAAAAAGATATAAAAATTGATTCAAAACGGACATAACATTCTGCATACACTCGCGATTCATGCATGCATCTATATATGTATGTTCGTCGACCCTGCCCACGATCGATCATAAACAAATTTCTCTCGGGGCATTGATCCATCCTTGAGATGCATCGATCGCAGCTGTTGGCCAACATCATCGTTTCGATCGACCCACGTTTGGCAGCACACGTATGTATAGGGTGTCCCAAAATAATAATTGTTCTTTTTACTTGAATTCTTTTATGCGTTATAGTTTTTTATTTCAATCAAAAATAATTCCAAGTTATACAAAGAAAAAAATCCTTTGCCTCACAAACAAAATTTATTTATTTAAATCAGCTCATTACTTATTAATTATTGATCTGTCAACGTTTGTATGCAAAAAATCTCATTTAAATGATTAGAGTTTATAAATGAAAGAAATGACAAATGTTAAAACCTCCAAAATTCATATTATTCATCGTAATATTATTAAGAATAGCATTTGCTTTAAGTAAACATAGTTTCTAAATTTATGGATTTAAAATTAGTCCCGCACTATTTTCCAACAGCTGATGTATGTTTACAACATTAATTCACTGTTTTATTTAAATTCAACTCAGAAATTATTTAACTTATTTTCAAGCATCAAAAATAAAATCTTTTTTACAATATATATATATATATATATATATATATATATATATATATATATATATATATATATATATATTACATATTGCTTAATACCATAATGACATATTTATTTTAACTTTACATAATAAAAAATATAAATATATTAAAGTCATAAAATCTTTAAGATAAATCATCTAAATCCGCGCGAATGTACGCGAGGAAGTTTTAAAAAACTTCTTAATCTGACGATATCATTTTAAAAATCCGTTACAAATCCATACATTTTTTCATTACATATTTTTCTCGACAGCTTTAAACCCTCTAAGAGCAGTAAATTAAATTTTTAGCAGCATCAATTTCAAAATAAATCGAACCGAGTCTGAATCATCCACGCACTTCGAGCGCTCGAGCACCTGTGCGCAAGCGACGAGAACAACACACAGGCGAGTCTCCGCTGATATTCATGACACGTCCCACGTGCCGGAATTCCTGCACCCTACCCGATGGATCCCGCGGGATTTATTTTCGGATCGGTATGACGCCACCGGGCGCGTTTACAGTAGTGCCGCGCCGCACAGCCCCGAATTCGCTCCTCGCACTGTCTGATTCCTCAGTGAGGTCCGCGGCCGTCTGCCGCTCGAGTCCACGCGACGATTAATCGATGTATCTGCCTTCGATCGATCGATCGAAAAGCGCCGAAAGCGGGCAGAAACGACGACCGTGAGTCTGTGATCGATCGCGCGATTTTCAGACGAGCAAACCGGGCGAACGAGATACAAAAAGGTACTCGCGCGCAATTAAACCGCACCGGATTAAAAGTCGAGAAAGTATTTCCCTCTTTCGAATCCCTTTACGCTCAATATTCTCCGTGAAAGTGCGTATGTGTTTGGTGCATTAAAAATGGTACATTGAAAAATTGAAGCTGCATGATTTACACGGCGATTCACAGCGTGCCATTGATCACTGTATGATAAACTGACGTTTGATCGCTGTAGCTATAAATTTATACCAGTGTGTTCCCCACATTTTGCACGTTCCATCAACTGTGAGAGAAGAAGTTAAAATAAAACTGTTCGTATCAACGAGAAAATTTTGCTGGACTTTCATCGAAAATTACGTGTGTTGTTTATACGTGCATGCATATTGCCAAGACATATTTAACGTTGCCCGCTGCGATATACAGATGCACATCATAAACGCCATCATCGCTCGCACGTGTAGGATCGTTTCGCGAGCGCAGCGGTTCGTCTGCTTTTGCGAATTACGAGCGGCGTGCTGGAACGCGCGAGAGATGGATCTTCCGCGAATCAGCTCGCAACGCGAGACGTGACACGAGATCGTGCGTGTGTATGTGTATGTGCGTGTGTCTCTCTCTCTCTCTCTCTCTCTCTCTCTCTCTCTCTCTTCTCCTTCCTTCTCCACCACTCCGGCAACTGCGAGGAAAGAAAGTCAACTCGAGTCTCAGGTCTCCGTCGCCGCGAATTTGACAGACTGCCAAGTCCGCGAGGTCGCGTTACATAACGCCATGTAACGCGCGCGAATTTGGACTACGCGTCTGCGAGAACGAACGAAACCGGCAACCCGCGGTCTCGCGACCGTCGTCGATCATGTGATCGTGCAGCGAATGCACCAACTCGAATGCCACGGCGCGAGTGCGCATACTATACTGTATACGCGATTGCTATTCGCGGTCGCGCAGAAAACGGGACTGCAGTTTTAACTCGGAGCTTATCGCTAAGCGAACACGGTTGGACAGCAACGATTCTAAATCACGCGACACGCGGTCACTCTTCAGAAATCCGAAATTATTTTCCGAACCGCGGTCGCGTAAAGTGTATCTATCAATGATTTCCGAGTGATTACCGAGTGCTGCATTTTATTTATTGCACTCTGATATTTTTAATTAAAATACATAAGAAATACATAATTATTTTTTAAAGTATAAATTAATCGTTGTTATATGAATCTCGCTTATAAACCGTCTTGGGAATAAAAATTCGATCTGATGTACGACGACGTGAACAACAAACAAAACGAGACGACGGTCGACGATCTTCTTCGGGCCCCATAAAATTCATCGAGGCAAGGCAGGGCCCGTTAAGAAATCCAGAGAGACGGCGAACCCGTTCGGAACGAGGAATTAATCGGGACGATCAGCGGGCGAGCGAGCAAGCGGTTTTTCCGGCAGATTATTCGAGCGAGAACGAGCGAGCTGGAGAGGAGAACCGGGACCATGAAGAACGCCCATCCGATCGTCAGCGCGACGGCGGCTTCCAGTCCGGTCGGTCCAGATTCCACGGGTCTTGGCGAGCCGGCGGAGCCGATCATCCGACTGAAGCTGCAGAAACCGCTGCACTGGGAGTGGGAACTGACGACATCCGCCGACGCGCTGCCCGTCATCCAGCTATTGGACAAGGACGGCCGGTTGCTGGTGGAGACCACCGGCCGAACGGCGCAGCGAGCGAGAGGATCCTTCAAGGAGGGCCTGAGGACCCATGAACAATTCCCCGCCGACGAGTCTATCAGAGCCAGCTCGAGGAGTACGGAGCAAACGTCCTCTCCCTCGACATCGTCGACCACGTCGTTCGTTGTGACGCCGTTTCAAGGTAATCGCAATATCGACGGCTTCAGCAGCAAGTTCGGTACGTGCAATTTCCCACCACGGAAATCGCGAAGTGACGTTAATATTAAAGAAAAACGAAGCAAGAAAAGGCACTCGTCTGCCGGGGAGAAACCGACGATGAAAACGAAGTCTTTGGAGAGGAACGTCGAAGGAACAACGGCGGGATTCAAGAGATACTCCGCCGGAGATTATCTGCGACAGCAAATCATGGACGATCTGCGTACATGCGGTATGATCGGGAGGACTCCGGAGGAAATCGCCAAAGACAGATGCAAGAAAGTCAAAGCGTATCTAAGGAGCCAGAGCGAATCCCAACTGGGATTAGTCCGTGAGGAAGAGTGCAACGGAAACGAAACGAAGGACACTACTAAGCCAAACTACGAAAAGAGCCCCGGAAATGCTAATTTAAAGAGAAACAATACGATCAATTCCGAAGAGAAAAATCCAAAAAGAGAAAATGGAGAAAACAAAAAAGTGAAGTCGTATCTGCGAACTCGAAGCACTTTAATCCCAATGGAAAACGTGGCGACGGAGAATTCCAATCCGGATGAAGGGGATAGAGTCATTCGCAAGATAAAGGACGACATGAATGAGGAAGAGTTGACGAGAATCAGAACATTCCTGCGCGAGAAGATACAGCGGCGGATGAATATGGAACAAGCGTATTCGAGACCGGCCATTCGCTCCGCCGACGTTTCAGAAATCGTTGAGAATATCGGAATCAGGAAAAGATACTCGGACTATAGTCACGAGCAAAATCAGAAAACCTATAGAACACGGAAGGCGCGCAGTGAGACAAGTATCTTGCGATTCGATCCCGAAGTATTTGAGAGAGAAAAGCTAAAATCTAAAAGACAATCGGAGAAAGAGAAGTCGATGGACTGTAGAGAATTCACGGAAGACTCCCAGCCTGACAGACAGCTACGTAACTATCGACGATCGAGGAGCGAAGCCTTGATCGAAGCTTCGGAACAACCGGACAATCGAGCGAGATCGCAGCTAAAGAGAGAGTCGTCGAGTTTGGAGAAAAGAAAGGTATATCGGAAAACCAAAAGCGATATTACGCTCGGACAAATGGCAACGGCAGCGGCTAAGGACAACGGTAAGGAGTTCGCAAATCCCGTGAGACATATAAAGAGCCAGGAGAATGTGGAAAAGTCCTGGCGGGAATATAAAGATCGGAAAAGAAGCGAGCGACTTCGTCGGGAGCCGGAAAAAGAAGCGCCCGAGGAGGATTTCATGGCCAAGCCGAGATGGAAGGACCTGCAACGCGATCTCTGCTCCTCGCGCAACTGCAAGGTCTGCCAAAACTTGAGAAACTGCATGAACCCATTTTACGAGCGAAGCGAGAAGCCTCGGAAGAACGAAGAGTTGCCGACGAAAAAAGAAGCTGTTGCGAAAGATTCCGAAGAGGAGACTTCGTCGACGAACGGTAGCAGACCCAGTACTAGCCTGCAGGAAAATTACTTGCTCGTCGAGGAGAGGAACGCGAACGAGTGCCAATCGTCGATCAACGCCAAAGCTCAAGTGAAAACTCGCGGCAATGACATTAGCAGTGTGTCCGCGTTAAATATTAATTCTCCGGATTTCGGATACAACTCCATTCCTTCGAAGAACGCCTTTAAAGATTATCGAGAGTTATACGCACGGTCAAACGTAAAGAAGAGTGATACTTTCAAGATCGTTGACGGAAGCGAGGATTTAGAGGTACGTGCAAATAACTTCGATTCGGAAATAAATGGCATCGATGGTTCCGACAACGAATTCGGCTATCTGAACGGCGAGGTTTTGCTAGCGAACAAATCGAACGAGGACATCACGAAGGATTATTTCAAGAGAGTTTACGAACTACTAAAAAGGAGGCAAGAAGAGATGCGAAAGCCGGTGGATGAAAGTCACGAGTTTCCGGGCCACGATGACTCTTCGTCCTCGAATTATGTCGAGGAAACGCAGAAGAAAAGATATCGCCGCAGAAGGAAAGACAAAAGCCCACAAGGTAGGATATTCTGTGATGTAACTAATTGTTAATTGTAATTAATGTTGTTAAAATAATTTATATCAATAATCACAAATTCACGTCTATTGATCAATGCTCAATTATAGTGACATTAATGGCAAGTTAAATAATCATATCAACGTAAATGTAATAAATTACATATCACATAATTCATATTTCATAGAATTTTCAACAATCATTGATTTATACATATCACGAATATATTAATATCTTGCAATTCTTATTCTTGCAATTATAACTTCTTAAGTTTCGATAATACGTATTTAGGAATCTCGTAATAGATTTCTCTTGGAAAAGATAAATTAAAAAAAAAAGATACATAAATATAAAGTCCGGAAAAGAAAACCTCAGAAATGCAACTCGGAAAATACCGAAACTCGGACAAAACAGTAATTACTAGTAAAATGCTCGAGAACTTTAATTTACATTATCTACAATATATATATATATATAAAACTATCTTTGCAACACAGAGTGGTACGGATATCGCCCTTGTGCCTTTTACTAATGTGAAAAGTTCCGCCGTGAAAGCCCGCCTTTATTGTAGCCACTCGTATTTATGCGATGTCTCGCACGTTTCAAAAGTATTTAATATCCAAACATCACGAAAGTTTTTGCATCAAAGTAAATTGCACATTATCATATCACTCGAGAACAACTTTTAATGTAACATATTACCTTTAATATTACATATCCCAAGTGCAAAATAAAGATGGTATTATTTCGTATAATAAACAAAAAAATGTATAATATGAGAGCTAAAAATGCCTGGTGAACAAACATATATATTTCATAATAATCGAAAATTTATATTTTTCTTTTCCTTTTGTTCTTATTTGATTTGACGGAACATCTCGATGTTTCTCAGGTTTATGACAGTTTAATTTCCTTTCTTTTCACAAAGTGATTCCGCGCGATGGAAAACTCTGTTTTCGCTTTCAATGCATTTTCTTACAATTTCCAACCGTTCGCCTCTGGTCTTTCAATATCCGTTCTGTCGACCCTTCAAACTTTGAAGAGATTTCCACTTTACTCGCATAGGCTCTCTTAGGATAATTAGATTTGCTTGAACAGAAAAGTAATGACCTCACAAATTGCACGAAGAACATTGAAAGAACAAAAAACTTAACATCATAATTATATTAATCATAAATCCGCACGTATCTCTTGCTATAAAAAGTATTTATTAACTAAACCACCGTGATACCAGAAATAACTTTAGGATGACATATTTCTACAATATCATTCAATCACGAGAAAAAGTTTAAATTTTTAATAATTTAAATATCACAGCTTTCCGTTATTTGTTCGAGATTTATCAACTGTTAACCTTTAACTTTTATGAATTATAACGCATGACCTCTCTGTTCTCGGTTAGATCGAAACCCAATCTCAAAAGAAAAATACTGAACCTCTGAAAGTCCCCGAAAACTCCTCTCGAGCATTGTCAATTCTCAGAAGCCTTACGTAAACTTCAAGACTTTCAGCTTAAAGGCTTGGCAAGCCCTTCCCTTAGGGTTTGTGAAAATCACGAAGAAATCTCTCGTACACTCTGATCCGTTCACCTCTTTCGCGAGGTTACCCTGTTATTACAACGAAAAAAATGAGACGTGGGTGTGATCTCTTGACCTATAGGCCGCCTTGAATTTCAATCTAAAGCGGTACACTCCGTTCGCGTTCTCTCACGAGATAAATATTTCAATTTACGCTCGCTTACAAGAGATGCAATTTATTATCTTTTATTAGAAAATCGTTACGAAAGTTTTCATATAATTATTTCTTCGCGAATCTCCCATTCATTTCAACTGTTCGATTCTCACTGCATCAATTAACAACTATGAAAATAATCTCATAATATGAGAAGAGAATATCAATAAAATTTGTATAAAAACGAAATTGCGCTTCGTAACACTTTGTTTTTTTTTTCGTTTTTGTTTCGTTTTATCAATAAAAAAATGTACATACAATTAAAAATCGAAAATCTTGTAGTACAACATAATTACTGAATAATTTGGCTGCCAATTAATAAATAAAAAGAAACAAAAAAATTATAATATTTTTATAACCTACTATTGTCGAACAAATCCGATGTGTTCATAAGTCTATGAAATCCTAAAATGCAGTTAATATAAATTACGCGATTAATCGAATAATCCTTTTTCTCCTCAGAAAATTGTTACGACAGAAGTTCCTACATGTTGATTAAAATGTATCAGAGCAATCTCCAGACATTTGCATATATATATAAATAAAAAAAACCAGAAACATAGAACATCCGGTGATCACTAATTCAAGATAGAATTCCCGTTCTCCCTTCTGGCCATATGACGTCATAGGACAGACATGCAAAACGGAAGTCGGCGCTTCCCGTACGCTAACCCTCACAAGAAGCATCGCAAGAAGTGAGAATTTCTGAGCAGAAAATTTACAGGCGAAAATTTAGAATAAATGCGCTATGCCGGAAGTCACAATCGCCCATTTCCGGAAATATTCGCGAAAATCCAAAACGACGGCGAACGAAAACAGTGCTTTTAATATCTAATTTTGCACAACACAATCATAATTTATATTAATAATTTAGCAATAATTTCTTTTTCCATTAGAATATATTAATATATTCTATCTAAAAATATATGTATTAATTTAATCAATTAATTGTTTTCAGTTGTTAAAATTGTTTTCAACATTATGTCATGCTCACTTAAAATTATTATAAAAGACATTGATTAATTTAATCGAATATTGTAGAGCTATATGTAATTATAATTTCAATTTGTAAAACTACTTACATTATTTATAACTATTATAGGGCATTATAATAACTTTTTGGTTAACAAATTATTCGTAGCACATTTTCATCGACATTGGCTATACCTCAATAACCGCATATCGAAAATTGCTTTCATTATGCAGGAATTTAACTCGTACTCTCAATGGCTCTCGAGAATTCACGAACATGGAAAATTACCTACATCAATGACTCTCGCAAAATGAAAAGGATCGATTTTCGGTAACTCACAATTTATATCCGCTGTATCCGACGAATGAAGAGTAATAATCGTCGAAGAGTTAGCGAGAAGTTAATTGCGAGAGAGAACGAAAAAAGAGAAAGAGCGACCGTATAATTTTCGGCGACAGGATGGCATGCAGATCTGCGCGTGTACCGGAAGATACCGGTCTGCACTCGGTCCTTGTGACGGGCTTTCAGCCAAAAAGGATTAGTGCCATACTGTCGCCCTGTCGCAAAAATGCACCGGTGCAATTACGATTGTAACGAATGCTGCAAATCTTTTTACCTTCGCCTCGTATTTTCACAATCTATTCATTTTTATCTGTCCTAAAATATTCACATCTGTTAGATCATATTTTTATAATCTCCGATCATTGTTATTTTGCATTAATTAAAAATTATTCGTTTGCATTTTATTGGGATTTCTAGGACGATTAAAATATCCTTGGCACATATGCACACGCAGTTTAAATATATTACAAAAAAAAAACTGTAAATTTATAGGCAAATAAACGACAAAGCTATGAAGTAATAAAACTTCTGCAAGCAAATTATTGTTAAAAATAGCATTTAAATATTTTCGGTTGAAATAAAAGATTTAAATATAAAATCGATATATGACAAAGTTGCAGTTAACTTATTTTGTTTGAAAGCTTTGTTAAAAACGTGAAAACGTATAAAATAAATAAATAATAATAGATTTATTACATGTAAATGTCCAATAAACGTCATCATTCACAGTTTTCTCTCGCCAATTAACTCACCGAAATACAAGAAATAATTTCAAAATGTTATCATGACAAATTGCAATATTTTCATCTCGTCTGCCAATGCAATTATTTCCGTTACCGGCCCATTGGACTTGTAAAATTCCATTCAATACGAATGCAGATATACGGTGTCATATTGTGCGAGACGACACAAAAGGTATATTTTGTGCGTCGTTGGCCTTGGTTCAAAACAATTTGCTACGTGTGGCGAAGCAAGTGTCTGAACGAACTTGTTGCTAGACGCGAAACGTCACGTTTGACGATGGCAAATAGACAATTGGCTAACAGTATCATACATGATAAATTCGCGTTCTCTATTTCAATATATATCTAATATATAATATTATATATATATATATATTATATATATATAATATATATATATATATATATATATAA